AGCGATAAACTTATTTAGTTTTGCATTTTTCAGCTAAAGTTTTTGTACTCGGTATAAATATCTTCTTACGAAGATACAAAGGATATCGTACGTTGGTTTTGTAAAATTTCTTCGATTTAACGCGACAACCGCAAAATCAGGACGACTATAAATATAAGATTAATATGCTCGAACAAAATTGGATTTCTATTTCTGTCAGACTTCCATTACTTATAAAATTTATCTCGTATAAAATATCTGTTGCTTACGTCTATCCAAACTAATAAAGCAATCAAGTAATAAAAATAAAGTACTAAATTAAGTGTACAATTAAATATCTTTAAATTGTTTGAACTTAATTTTTCCAAAAATTTTCGTCTCCCATTGGAAGATATCTTTCTAATATGGTTCTTAACAGAATTCCGTTTTGTCATATCTCATCGAAATTTTCTTCTCGCTCTATGTAAAACATCTGTTACAAGGCAGATTAATTCATCGCAATTTTATCTTCGAGGTATACACATTTATCGCGCAGCGCGATAATGCCTCCTTCTCTTCTCCCCTTTTCAGCGGTTCTCCACAGAAATATCTTATTTCTTACCACTCCGGGAGAGCAATCTGTCCTTTCTGCTCTTTCTCTCTCACGTAATTTTTCTAATTTAGCCGAACGGCCCATTCACCATTGAGCGGGAGGCGCACGAGGCTCGACTCACACAATCGCCGGTCCGGGTTTTCGATTTGCTGGCATACATCCGGAAATACATTTTCGTTTCTCGTTTCTTTAAGGGTCGACCTCTCGCACTCCTGCCCTCGCCTTCCACCAGTCCCAAGCGAAGTGTCGCGAAAAGCCAGACTGAAAGCAATTTTCTCGCCAGCGGTGGTTGTCGCACGAATTGCCGCCGCTCCTTCGATCTTGCTTTCCCTTTCTCGCTATCTCTCCATTCATCTGATCGATGGGAATGCCCGCTCGCATTATCCAGTTACGCGTTTCAAGATGACGCACCGGTCTTGTAAAAGCGAGCGCCGGTCAATTGAGGGACTCGTCGACTAAATTATTCCGGTCTTTCCGGAAAGAATAGTAGAAAATTAAGTTTCCCAGAAAAGGGAAGAACTATTCTTTAATTTAATAGGAAATTATTAATTAATCAAATTATATAATATATTGGCAAAAAGAATATATTCTTAACATAATCAAATATTATTTTCATGTTTCACGACCTTTAAAAAAACCATTTTTTTTTTAAATTATTTGACGATTTTGATGATTTTTTAAGTCACCCTTTTTGAATTTGATGTTTTAACGATTTTTTATGTTAACTTTATAAAATTTTTACTTTTGATGATTGATAAGGTAATGTTTATCTAACTCATTCATGATAATAACTCATGTTTTTTTAATTGTGTCACTGTTGAAGTAATGGCGTGATATATTAAGATTTATAACATAAAACATTAAAATTTTAATTTGACAAAGGCTCTCAGATTCAATAGAATGAATTTTCAATGTGATATGGACAATTGAGAGCAAACGCAGTTAAATTTAGCGTATATCTATTTATGTATAATAATATCAAATAATAAGTTTATAACATTATTTCTTTATTAATACGAACGTTTCAACTTTATTTAAGTCATCTTCAGCGTATATCCCTGCTTATAATTTGAATTTTTCATTACTTGGTGGGTTGAGATGATTGCCAATTCGAGTATTGAAAATAATCTCCTTAACAAGCTGTGTGATTGTTAAGATCTATAATGTGTTGTTATTTTGTTAAAAAACTTTTCGCAATAATTAACGATAGCTGTTTTTTCTACTCACCCAACACACCAAGTATAACATTGTAGGAGCGCCATAATGATAATATACAATTAAAGTTGATTAACTTCATTTTTAGAATATTAATTACGTTATTATAAGCAAGGATATACGCTACAAATTATAAGCAGAGATATACGCTGAAGATGACTTAAGCAAAATCGAAACGTCCGTATTAATAAAGAAATAATGTTATAAACTTATTATTTGGTATTATTATATATAAATAGATATACGTTAAATTTAACTGCGTTTGCTCTCAATTGCCCATATCTCACATCGAAAATTAATTAAGATTTATATTATAAGGAAAAATTTCGATTGTGTATGTGCGATTCCACATTACCAGACGTATCTTTGACTAGCTCGCAATTTTAATTAACCACCTGGGCGTAAATCTTCATCCCTTCTATCCCGCGGCATCTTCTTTAAACCCTGATATTTTTTCCGCGTTTGTTCTCTGATGATAGTCGTCAACTTTGCAGGGTGAGAAACGTATGAAAGCATCGTAGAACACAGGGGTGGCCAAACCTAAAACCTCGGGTCGGATTGTACGCCTCATGGTCGTTTCGGGCACGTCGCGGGCGAGTCGCGATGGCGACGGTAAGCTAATATTACGGTGCCCCGCGGCGAACTGGAAAATCTCATTGGGGCCTCCATTATTCATCCGCAAGCCCGAGCTTGCCGACTCCCTTCATTCGTTCGTTCATTCGTTCGTCGGTTCGTCTGTCCGTTCGCTTCATAGTTTCCGCCGTGATAAATTCAATTCGAATTACAAACGCCCGGAATTAATCCCCTCCCCCTCCACCGTCATACTCGACCTTTCTCGCGTTCTCCTCATCCACAGTTCACAACGCGACGAGAACGATGCGATTAAACGCCTCGTGACTTTACCGGAATGAGTCGTCTACGAATTTACAAAGATCTTCAGGAAACTAATTTTGCATCTCGTTTCAACTATAATTTTCTTGTAGAACTTGCACAATAGTACCTTGCCATTATTCTTCGAAATAGATATTCTTTTTAAAAAAGTTCTTTTTAAAAAGAAAACATATTAGATCATGAATTTATATTTACAAATTTGTACAAACAAATTTGCGTGTTATTACAGTAAAAATATACTATTATTATTTAATTTCTGTCTCTGAAGTTTACCAAAAAATTCTTTGTTTTCATTTTTACAACAATTATACAAAACTTGGAAGCGTTTTAATTCTTTTTCATCGAGAAGGAATCCACATTAAACTGATCAAAAATCTTTAAAAATAATATGATAAAAAATGGAATAGTCTAACGAAAGCACAAGTTACTGTAAAAATTGAGAAGCTAAAAATACATTTTTTTTAATGTTTGATTAACAATTGAACAGTTCTGTACACTGTATAGTTCCTTTGGAGTAACCCCTAGAACACAAAGTTGCAGCACAAAAGTTGCAGCAACACTGCTGCAACATTGCATATTACTGCAATATTGCAGAGATTTTGCAGCGATATTACTGCAAATTCTGTGCTGTATGGATTGGTAATTATTTGCATTAAGTAGTGAGGAGTTCATATGTATACATTTAAATGCGTGCGAAAGTAACGCTGTTGCTCTCCGCGAAAACGATTAAAGTAGATGTATCCTCCCCAAGGATACAAGAGGGTGGAATAAGCGGATAGGATGGAAGCAGGTGGATACTATCCAGAAATATCGCGAGCACGTGCAAATGGCCGCGTGTCGAGACTCAGGAGGGATCTTCTTCTGCGGGGAACCGACAAAGTCTCATCCCTACAAGGAGACTGGGAAAGGAGTGAAGTACGGAAAGGAGAAGCAATAAACTTTTATGGCCGTAAGCTCTCACTTGCGCGGACGGCCGTTCCTATTTGCGAGCATCCGAAACTTGGGAGGAATATAATTTCATTCCTTGGCTCGCAAAATTGTTGCAGAGGAAGACGTTTATGTCAGCGAACGAAGAGATAATTTAATGGCTCGAGATATTCGCGAAATAAACGTCAAGGAATGATAAAAAAAAACTAAGAAATTATAAAAAAGTTATAAAAGTATTTTTTCAAATTTACTTAAAAAAATATTTTGTACAGTATATTGTCTTAAAGATGCCTTTTTTCAAAGACCTTAAAATGTTGAATAAAACAACCGAGTATAGTTACTTACTACGCTCGTAAATGTCATTTTTAAATATTTTCAAAAAGAATTATAAAGCGTTTTTTTAGTCTGTTTAATTTCATAAATACATCTTTTATTTAGATAAGTGAGTTATTTAATCATTTAATTCACATTAAAACTCAACGGAAACATCTCTGAGCAGTTTACGGAACAGAAAACTACCGATTCGACAAACTGTGCAAGTATTTGTTACATCCACTTTCCGCGGATAAGAGAACGCGGAAAACTGCTGTCAAACTGAACAACCAAGAAGAAAAGAAACTTTTCCCAGAGAGGAAATACACGAAAAGAAAAAACCGGCTGATCCCGCGAAGCCGAACGTTTACCGTAACGAGTGGATCGAAAGCTAAACTGAGCTGGCGCTTTTTCGAAAGAGGGATGTCCCCGCCTTAAAGTACGTAACTTTTCTTATGAATCCCTGCGGACAGGAGAGAAAACGCGGGGGTGAACAAGGGTGGTCGTTTTACTCCACAATCCACCAAGCGTCAGGAGAAGGAACTCGTCTCGCGTAAAAAGAAAATATTTCTCGTCGACACGCAAGAAGCGGTACAAAGGATCCTAGTTACGCTTCCTTTCTTCCTTCCTTCCTTCGTATATTTCGTTTTCTTTTTTCTCTATTTCAGGTCTTGCTCAAGGACCTTTCGGTGTAGCAGGCGATAAAGTTGAAACCTCGACTAAATCGATATACTACGGGGATGTATGTTCTTTTTTCTGTACTTCGTGTACCTTTATGGCAGCTATTTGCACGATTTTTTTCTTACCTTTTCTTTTCTTTTTTTTTCAGCGACGTGTCTTGTCCCCTTGTCTCCGAAGACCTTTGATCTCAATTAGATACCCATATAGTACTTAACATTTCGTTAATTAATCATTCAATACTAACGAGAGTTGTATAAAGTTAATAATAATTACGAATATTTATTTAGTAATCAAATTTAGAAAAAAAATCACGGTTATTATTTAGCGTCAGCAGAAAATCGCGGTATCACATCCCATTAACGCTATCATCATTATTGCTTTCAGAGAGGCCAAAGTATCTTATTTGCAACAAACGTTAATTTAAAGGCGTGAAGGTAAACGTGAGTAAGAAAACAAAATTATCGCTTATGCCCCGTGATATTGGAGGGTTTGAAAGGACATTTTCACGCTTTCAAGCCACTCAAGTATCGGTGATGCTCGAGGTTGAGCGTAATTACTGACACGCAATCTTGCGACGTAAACCGCGACAGATAAATATACAAGGTGTTGGAGAACTACGGCACTTTTTTTCTCAATCCGTACATAATTAAATTATTGATTGAATTAATATTTCGAGTGGAGCCAACCGAAGGTTTAAAGACGCAAATAAATTATAGAATTTTACGTCTATAGCGAATTTCAAGGGCATTTTTATCAAATAATATTATTTTATCGCGTAATCTTAATTACCAAAATACTTATTATTGAAACTTTTATGTCAAAAGTCACACAATAGTGTCTTACGAGGTTATTTTCTTGAAAAATTTCTTGAAAATTCATCAAGCGGCTTGTAATTAAGTGAAAGTACGCAACTTTCGATACATCCCGTATATGCTGGACGGTAATATAAGCAGCATTGCGTCTTCATAAATAGCTGTTGGCTTGACACGTTCGAAGAAGATAAGCACCTACATGCGTCACACTTTAAGACGCGAAGATACGACCCGCGGCAAGATTGTACCTCTCTTGCGGTTCTTATGCCATCATACCACCAGATATGATATTATCCTGCTTCAATTAAATTATAGTCGTCAGTGACTTCATTTGTCAAAAATTCTGATGCAAATTAACAAGTAGTGATTTTATTAAAATGATCGCATTTTTGAAACATTTTCAATTTAATATTGAGAAAACGTTAGTTAAAATAGAAAAAAACAGTCAAAAGAGAAAAGAATAGTAAAAATATCTATGAATATAAATTATATGATATGAAATATTCCATGCTTCTCTCTCTCTCTCTTTTCAAGAGAAAAATGATTTTGCTGGATTTGAAAATAATTTTGTTGGACTATCAAAATAATTTTTCAGGAAACTCAAACTGAGGGGTTACTAGAAAAATCAAAATTTTTTATCATCATTGTTCATCACTTTCTAACATAATTATTTTATAAAACGTCATATTTAAGGTAGTTCTTCATGTCTAATAATATTTCCTGTGAATTTATACAATTTCTAGTTTAAGCTAAGCTATGCGCCGATTATTTGTCCTGAAACATAGTTCTAAACCGAAGCTAGAATAGTAATTAAATTAACAAACAAGCAATAATTAATAGCAATTTAATATTATTGCTGTAAATAAACATCTTAGAAAGCTGTTAATGATTTGATGCTAATAAGCATCTATACAAACTATAAATAATTTAATCTTCTCAGTCTATCTTCATAATTCTTAAGAATTATCTTGATGGTCCAAAAATTATTTTCAGATTTGTATCTAGCAAAATTTTAAATCTTTTAAGCAAAATTGTTCTTTTTGTGTATTGCAAGGACAACGTCAGAGAGATAAAAAACTTAAATACTAATAGAACAGATTAAATTAGACTTGACTTAATTTAAATAAATCATATACCGTATAATGAATCCAAAATAGAAAGAGATGCCCGACATGGATGACCCGTGTTGGCGAACAATTGCATATTTCTGAATGGCGTCATGGCATCACACTTGCTAGCTACTTGGCCTAATCTTGGCAATTTAAATGTTTGTCCCCGACACGCAGGTCCGCTATGGGATCGCGTATCGCTCGGCTTAGGGATGCGTCGGTAATCCCTTGTTGAAACAGTGCTAAGCCCTTACGGATTGTCTGCGGGATCGCTACGGCGATACGACAGCGAGCGGCCTATTCGAAGGGCGGCAACCCCTGTTCGATGTTTTCGCTCTCGCGGTTTGTCCTGCTCGCCTTGCCTTTTACTGCTCGTTAACCGCGCTTCACGGATATTCGTCACGTCTGTTCATTCTATTTCAACTTAAAATTGGAGAACGTTTTTTCGTTTGAGAATTAATTACGAAAGTATGTTCAGCGCGAGACACACTGTACAACAAAAAGTCTTTATGGTTTTATTCTATTCTTTTCCTTCTCGATTTCCGAGGAATGATAGAACCGAAATGGAAACGAGCCCAGGAGACATAAACGACCGGAGCAAAACGAGTGCCATTCGCAAAATTGGCATATTGCCGATTTATCTGATACGCGGTGGATAAATCGTTTCCGCGCGAACAAGGGATGCACGAAGCCAATCTCACCCGGGAGATTCGCGACGTGCGACGAACAATAATGTAGGGCGGAGGCAAATGACCCCAATGATCCTACAAAAATTCGCAGATAATTTGAAAGGAAATAATGCAAAACACTGCGATGATTCCACAGAGATTCGGAGGTATTACTTCGTGAATTTATACGTAACATTAAAAAAAAGCGTTTTTCATACATATATTAATAATTAAAAAGTTTATCTAATAAAAAAATTTTACAATAACAATCAACAACTAAAGATAGAGCTGTGAGAGTCAAAGCGCAATTAATAATGTATTAAAAAATTATTTAAAACAAAGCGTCTTTAATAAAATCTCTCTAAGAGAGTACAATGTATAGTATCGTGATTACGAACGTTTTGGCTTCGCTTTATGAGCCATCATCAGTGTGAAAATACAAGTGTAAATGGTTATCTCCCACTCTCAAGTCTAATCTATAATGTGCTCTTTACTTCCGGTTTTCTGCTTTTTACTACTTTTTATTCGTCTTTTTTTCTTCTTATCCTGTCTCTTCATTTTTTGTGCTAAAAAAGAAAAGAGATAAAAGTTGACGAACTTTGAAAGAGACAATGAACACACAAGATATACAATTGTTGATAAAACAATCACAAAGAGGGAAAAAGGTAAAAAGTAAAAAGAAAGAAACAGGAAAAAAGAACACATTGTGGTGTGTAGATCAGGTTTAATTTGTACTAACATAGATAAAATCGGTGTAAATTAGTTGTACACATGAAACCTTCTAAAGGATACTTCAACGATAGTTTCGTTGCTATTTCCGGAGAAGCTAATTAAGTCGGGAGAATCGTTCTTTACTCAAAAGAGCATTTGTCAGCCTGTACGAAAGATCCAGGATTCTCTTAGCGCGACGCTTCCTCTTATATTCTAGGAGCACTTAAGAGCGCAAATATTTATGGTATCTTCCAGTCTCGAGCGAAAAACAAAACCCTCCTCTCCCGAAGAAGAAGATGAACATGTGGAGGAGAGGAATCCGTCTCTTTCTCTTGCTTCTTCTTTCTTTCTCTCCCCCCCCCCTCTTTCTCTCTCTCTCTCATCGAGTAGATATACCCCGTGGGATTAACCTTTAATTCTATCCCGTCTCGACAGCCCCTTTTTCGTCCTTGAAGAAGGGTCCTTGGCGTGCGTATCAAATGCTCTCGACATGGGCCAGGAACAAGACTGAAATGAAATTTTCGAAATGGTTTGACGAGCGGCTTGGTTTACGAGATTGGCTGCCTTTGCCACGTCGCTCGAAAGGATGTTAAGAGCTAAAAAAAGGAATAAGACAGCATCTGTTTTAAACAAAGAATATAATTTTAGAAGATTATTTACGATAGTAATAAGAACTATTTTAAAACAGCTTGACGAAAACATGTTACGTAGTAAATTGATTATTTATATGAAGATAATCGAATTATTAATAAGTGCTGTACAAAATATAGTTTTATATACATGTATGGTATATAGAAGCTAAAAGGGATGTTTTTAAGAAAAATGCACGATTTATTGTTACTAATTTATATCGTTGCTAGTATTTTAAGAGACTTATTAGCATTGCTATTAAATTGAATTATTTAATTTATGATATTATTTAAGCTTCAATTTATAATTGCGTTTCAAGTTCGACAGTAATCGATAGATAAGAACAGTTTTGCTAAAGTATCTGGAAATTTAAATATAAAATATAAATATTATTAGCCATCAAAGTCCACAGGACTCGATCATATTTAGCCCTTATTTATTTAGTTATTTGATTTACTTATATATATATATATATCTCTCAGTAACAAAAAATAAAATAATTCAATTTAATAACAATGCTAATTAGCATCTTAAAATACCTACTAGCAACGATATACCATATGGTATAAATTAGTAACAACAGAAAGTAAATTGAATAAATAAATAAAGACCAAGTACGGTCAAGGCTAGATCTTGATGCCTAATAATATTTATATTTTATATTTAAATTTGTAGCTACAATATATATACATAGCTCGTATTTTAAGAAATCACAATCTAAAGTTAATTTAAAACTTTTCCATTATCACGCGACGCGAATGCAAGGGACAGACTTGTACGAAGGCAGTTGGGAAAATCGTCCCCGAGTTTGGGCGTGTACATGCAAGAAGGGACGACAGCGGCAAGGCAAGCCAGGTGGATCGATCGCAGGTTGCTTACGGCGGTCCACAAACCTTCGCGAGCCTCTGCATGCACGCACGAGTTCCTGCCCTTAGACGGCGAAAGGAAGTACATTTGCGTGTGTACGTAATGTACGGAGAGTTTGCAGACGGCGTTGTTTAATTCGTTCGCACGTAGCAACATCCTTCCGCAGCGTTGCGGCGACGGTCTACTTTCGAAATCTCTCTTGTGGCGGATGGTAATTAAATACCCGATGAACGGCTTTGGGAAAATTCAGACTCGCGTAACGCAACTCGTTAGAATTCAGAAAAGAGTTCGCCGTTGTTACTTTCACGCAGGGCAGCGCGACGTTGTCGCGGGCTCGATGGAACGACGACTCTCGCGAAGAAACGCCGCGGTTGCGCTAAGTTGCGACATTGTTGGAATAGCAACAGTTTTGTTAGATTTAATTTTTGTATGGAGAAAGAAAGAATGTGAAAGATTTTATTTTGTATGGGTAATATTCCGAAGAGAAGAGGAAATTCGCAATTTTTCACATTTTCTACTGGTATAATGAATAATTTCATACAATGATTGATAGTATCGATCGAGAAAGTTAATTTTGGATACATTGAAACTGTTATTTTCTTAGATTTATTACAGTTTATTTTCTTATAAAAATGTAGATACT